AGGGATTTACCACTGCATCAGTTTGATAATTCCTGGGAATCTCAGCCAGGTTTCTTACTAAAAAAAAAAACAAAAAAACAAAAACAAACAAACAAACAAACAAAAAAACGTGTATATTAAGAGATTCATAGGGAATCATATGAAAAGAAGGGGGAGACACAAAGACCTGGAGGGAACTAGAGCTCCAATAGGAGAGCAACAGAACCAAAAAATCTGGGCACAGGGGTCTTTTTTGAGACTGATACTCCAAACAAGGACCATTAGTGGATATAACCTAAAACCCCTGCACAGATGTAGCCCATGGCAGCTCAGTATACAAGTGGGTACCCTAGTAATGGGAACAGGGACTGACTCTGACATGAACTCAGTGGCTGGCTCTTTGATCATCTACCCCTGAGGCAGGAGTAGCCTTACCAGGCCACAGAGGAAGACAATGCAGCCAGTCCTGTTGAGACCTGATAGGCTAGGGTCAGATGGAAGGGGAGGAGGACCTCCTCTATCAGTGGACTGAGGGAGGGGCATGGGAAGAGAAGAGGGAGGGAGGGAAGGATTGAGAGGGAATGAGGAAGGGGGCTACAGCTGTAATACACAGTAAATAAATTTTAATAAATAAAAACATTTAAAAAATTTAAAGACAGCTTCATATCTTCAATTACCATACATGATTTGTATGTACCCAGCTTTGCTCTGTGAAAGTCTTTGAACATATTATGCCCATTTTCACTCATGTTCTCAGAATGTGTCAAAACAGCTATAAAATTGAGCATAAAATTTTAATTCCTGTCCAAATCCAAGAATAGAATGGAAATATGTTGTGTGCATATATGAAACTATGAAAGGATAACTGAGGCTATTATATTTAAAATGTCTCAAGTGGAAGAAGTATTTTAATTTATAAGTATTTTAATTTTATAAATGGATGTTCATCCAGAAATATTTTTGGTCCACATTGCTTGACATATTACAAGTGTTTTTCAGAAAAGTATATGACACAGTAACTGTGTCAGCATTAACTGACTAGGTAACTGACTGAACCTGACAAAAACCTCAGGTACCTTAAGTAGGTTTAAGAACTATGCCTCTAAGTTCTATGTCTCTGCCTAATGTGACCCAGCGATCTTGAGGATCTATGCTCAGAGTATGCACTCCTCCTGGCATATGGCATAGCTCTGGTGTGTGGTTCTTATAGTGACAGCAGCAGATGGGTGGATATTACTGTACTCACAGGTCCTTATTCTTATATCTTGAATTACAGGATGAGAAGCATACATTTTGATGAGACCATAGTATCTTAGACCATAAATCTAATCAACACTATAATGTTTTGCATTATGATAAATAAAAAAAAACCTGATAACATATCCACATTACAATATCATGGATAATTAAATAGATTAAGAAACAAGAGTCTGGAAAGTAGGAAAACAGTATGTTTGAAGAAATGCAAAGACATGGGGGAGGTAATCTTGGACCCAGGATGCCTTGTCCTCTCTTGCTAGAAGGAAACTCTGAAGTACAGTGGAGAAGTTTCTATTTTTAGCTCTGAAAACAATAATCAGAGTTTTCTGGAGGGTTTGGGCTGAGGATTTTCAGGAGCTATGCAATATACCACACACCCAAGGGCATTGAGCTCCAGGAGGAAAAAGCAGATCAAGACTTAGGCTTTTTCCTTTAATGTCAGTATAAGTCGTAAGCCAGTTATTTACATCACTAAACCTTCATCTGTAAAGTGGAGCTCAAAGCACAAGCTATGTCTAACTTAAAGGGCTTTTGGGAGGCTCAACTGAAGAGATTCAGGGAAAGCCCTTTTATGATGTGCTGCCCTGTGGTCCAGGGGTTAAGACCATGGAATTGAACTAGCCTTTTAAATCTCTGCCTTATCATCTACTGACAGTATAGCCCTGGGCACACTACTCAAAATCTCTAGGACCCATTCTCCCAAACCAAAATAAATGGGAAGCCCATTCTATAGAGTTCATGGGATTATAGTGGAGAGAAAATAGAATGTAGTAACCATGTAAAGTGTTTAACAGAATGCTGAAAGGAAACACCCAATAATTAAACACTGCTTCTGCTATGATTTAGTAGAATGTATTGTTTTATCAATGGTAGAGTCAACTCACTTCTCATCTGGAGAAAAAATATAGGTTATTTAAAAGAGAGTGAGGGAATATTCTATTTTTATTTCTGTTGCCCTGACCAAAAAAAAAAAAAAAAAATTTCTGGTGGGGGAAGAGGTTATTGGCTTAAAAATCCTGAACACATTTGATCATTGAGGGAAGTCATAGGAATTTTTCAGGCTAGGATCTCCCTCATCAGTCAATAAAATTCCTCCACAGATTTACATTACAGAAATTCTGGTGGAGATTCTTCCTTAATTAAGGCTCCCTTTTTCTAGCTTGTGTTAAATTGACAAGAAACTAACCAGGACAGGAAGGAAGACAGGAAGAAAAGGAAGAGAGAAAGGAGAAGAAGAGAGAAGAGACTCATCTAGGGAGAAGATATGTTTTAATGATAAAAATAAACATAAAAAAATTTCAGTTTTCTCTTACTAACCTAAGCTGAAGTATGTTCTTGGGTGATAATATTATTGTTAAATTTTAATAATTCTGTAAAGCAGAATCTAACACTGTACCCACAATGATTTGCAACTCATTTATTTTAGCCCAAAATGGTCTGAAATTTTTCATTCTTCTACTTCAAATTCCTTGAGAATACAGATGTCATCTACTGTACCTAGCTAGTTTCTACTTTCATAAATGATGCAAAAATACTAATTTGAGCGAATTCTTACTCAGTTATACAAAACAGTCCTTAAACCATGCTGGGGATTAAAATATGCACCATAAACAAAAACACATGCTGCAAGTCCCACTAAAATCAAAAGTAGCTCTTCTTCTTTTACTTCTTTTTTATTTTTTAAAGACTTTTTAAAAATATTTTTGGTAATGTTTTGCCTGTTTGTGTATAAGTGTTCTATGACTGTGTCTGGTGCCAAAGGAAGCCAGAAGAGGGTGTTATGTACCCTGTGTCTAGCGTAGTAAGTGGTTGTGGGTCTCTGAGAAAGAAATTTGAGTCCTTTGTGAAAGAAAATAAAATCTACTCTTAACCACTAGACCATTTTTCCAGTCCCTTCATATTTATCTGTTTGTCTGTTCATCTATTGATCTGTGTATCTATCTATCTATCTATCTATCTATCTATCTATCTATCTATCTATCTATCTATCTA